TAGAGAACATAGAGAACCATGTATGTATGTATATACCTCAGACCTTCTTCTGCTCGCCCATCCATCAGCGCCAGGCACTCAAAATTTTAATTCAAGTAGGAAGTAACAATATTTAAGTTTAAAACTAATTCAATAATGAAATAAATAAAATCATAATCTGAATTGGCATGGCGAAAGCCTAACGCTGACGAGATGGCATGATAAGATTAGTAGCCTCATGGCTCTTTAGAATCTACTTTATGGCCAATAGCGCCGGCGTTTCCAGACGAGCCTCCGTAGCTGCCGCCGCCGATTATTTTTGAAGTTGACCACGCCGCCGCCGCAAAGTCTGTCGGCGTAAACCTCTAGCTTGTATGGGAGAAAAAGGCCTAGCAACATCAGTGGCGGATACAGGGGAGGGGCGATGGGGGCGATCGCCCGTCCCCCAGAGAAAAAAATTTCATTAAAATATATTACCTCAAACGAGAAATTTGAAAATATAAAAAAAAAAATTTTGTTTAATCTTCAATCATTGCACAAGATTATTTATAGAATAAGAAAGCATGTAAATCTCTAAATTAAAAATTCCAACAATGGGTATGCAAATACGATGAATTTATAGACCTTGTCATAACTATTAATATATTTTAATTTTCATTATTTGTTTATAAAAATAAAGTATAATCTTGAACAAAAACCATATAAATCCAAGCTTGAATCTCTTTAAAAAAACCACAAACTTTCGTAAAAATTTCGAACTTTTTAATTCGATTTTTAAGAAATATTTTGAGTAAGCAGTTTTTAGCCCATTCAGTTTTACTGCAAGTTTAAAGTAACTGAGTTTTGGCATTTTTTTTTTGTTGATCATGTTAGCTATTTTATTCCATACAAAACATTTTTGACAATTTTTTTGTTATATGGAGAAAATGAGCAACACCTTCGACGAAAAAAATTCCCAATAATCAATGGATCTTTAAATTGGGCTACAAAACTGCATACTCGAAATGTTTATAAATAAATCTAATTAAAAAGCTCGAAATTTTTACAAAGTTTGTTGATTTCTTTTTTAATTTTGCACAAGGATTGAAACTTTGATTTATATGGTTTCTGTTAAAAATATGCTATACCTTTAAAAAACAATAATTAAAATTAAAAATTTTTATAATACATATGTAAATGGTGAAATCTTGCCAATATGTGAGTGTCGTAAAGTTATGATAAGAACTAACTATATGTATGCATGTCGAATAAAACTTTTTGATACTACTTTTTGTCTATTTCCGCGGTGAATTTAAAAAATTTCACACTTAACTGTGTAACCAGAAATTCGTAGGGGGATAACAGCAACAGCAAAATGCGTAGAAAAAGCGCTTGCCGCGTTAGTTACCGATATCACTAAGGAATTATACTATTTGGACATTGTCCTTCCCCGGAGAGCGGATAGATAAAACTTTCGGGCTAATTATCGTGCATCTATCGCCGAAGATTATTATCGAAAGGCAGTATTTATACCGCTATTGCATAATATTTAGCTCGATATCCGAGAAAGATTGCCAAAATATACATTACATAAACATTTTTGAGTTGAACTATTACTTCCATATATATAAAATTAGGGAATATAATACGCTACACAAAGACGCTATCAGTTTGGAAGGAGAGTATAAAGTGCGGTCAGAACGACGAACAAATGAGGTAAGCGAAAAGCCATACCTGAAATCAGCAGCAGAAGTTCCTGGTAAACACACTTCTCCGCATTCTGACTACACTTCTAGCTAGTAACGCTACTTCGGAAAGAAGTTACCCTTCGCCGGTTAAAAACATGGTACCATGAATGCAAAAAGACTGATAGGTCTAGCACTTTTACACGTACACTTAGCGTCAGTTTTTGAGTGCACGGTCGTGGTTTAAACTTAGTTTAAACGCCCGAGCTGGCTGCTTTTAACTAAGATTAGCCAATCAAATGTCAGTCAGCTGTTCATTGTAAATTCAGTTTACGTAATCTGAGTTTAAACTGCCACTAAGACTGGCCCTTAGATATTGAAATTGACACTGAACGGATAATACAAAGATTCCCAAAAGGAAAGCGCAAAATTGAGTTTGCAATTTAAATTATTATAATCAAAATTCCGAATAAGTTGTTAAGTTACTAAATTACATCCCTCATTTGGCAAACATTATAAGCAAAGAATAAGTATTTATGTAACATACACAAATATATACTGCTTTAATAAACCCAGAGCATAACTTTTTTTCTTGTGCTTTTTTACAAAATAGTATAATTGTTTTATTACATGGGACTCTGTAAATGGACCTTGCGCCAAATTCTCAATCTGAAACTTACTTAAAGTAAAATTATATCACAAGACATTTTAATTCGGACTTCATAAAAATTACTAGAACCTCTATTTCCGTGAAAAATAAATGAGGGTTCAAGCACGTTGGATGCTTGTAGGTCATATAGCTTCGATTATCACTCCGCTGTGAAACAAGTTAGATGCCTGTAATTTAACGTTATTCGACAAGTCGATCCCAATCGCACTCCCCAAATAAAATCCTGTATCCGCCACTGAGCAACATCAGCCAAAAAAAAATTATTTAAAATTAACTCGATTTTCTAGCGTCTTGAAATTTGCACTTTACCCTACTAAAATTTAATGAGCTACCTAACTGCATACCCATAATTTTTCTAAAGATTCTGAATAAAAAGCTTAAAATTTTTGGGCGCAAATGTTAAAGTTTGTTGAATTTCATTATTTTTTTTACGAAGTTTGAAATGTGGATTTATTTGGCGGTGGTTAGGTAAAGTGCTAGACTTTTATAAAAAAAATATCACAGCGCACGGCAGTGCGCGCGAGTGACGAAAGCAGCCACAGTAGCATGCTGAAATGACTCGCTTATATATACACGAGATTTGGAAGTTTTTATCCAGAAGTGCAATCGACATGTTCTCAAAAATTAGGCAAAAGTGTTGCGAAACAAAAAACGTTTTTTTGCTTTTTCTGGTTTAAGGGGGCATGTGGGTACATCCAACATATTTAGTGTTATTCTATAGGCCACTACCTTTCAAACGATACCTTATATATTAAGTTCCGGCTACTAGTAGGAAAGATATAGAGGTAAATGTGTTTTGGTTCGTGTCTCCACTACGAGATGCTTTGGTATGTATGTGGCGTCTGTACGTACCTTCATTTAATTTTTATCAAACTTTCAAAAATTAAACTCCAAAAAAAAACTAAGAAGGTTTTGTTCCAGGATGTTTTGATTCGTTAGCCTTTGTGGGCGTGGCTGCTGCCTGAAAATCGAAAAAAGGCAATTTTTAAACTACCACTGAGGCCGCAACACTCAGTCCATGTCATTGATGGGGATATCAGTAAAAGGGTCTTCAAACAAGCTATCTAACGCCATCTTTTGTGTTTATAAAATATAAATACAGTATTGGCCAATACAATAGCACCCCCATTTCAAAGTGATATTGTTTGCCACTCATGTTTATTTATTTATTTTTAAGAATTCCCAGATTTTAAGCTTTCCCAGATATAAGCTTTATACCAGAAGAAAGCTAAGGTTTTGGGCTAGATTTGTGGAAACTTAGAAAAAAATCGACTGACCAGTTTTTGAGAAAATGCCCGAAATTTATATTTTTAGCAGCCCCATTTTTAGTTTTCAGGCGATAACGTTATGACATACAGTATTGGACATATCTATAGCACCCCCCTTTCAAAGCGATATTGTTTGCCACTTATGTTTAATTATTTGTTTTTAAAAATTTTCAATTAAAATACAGTTNTGTGTACTCAAAAAAATTCTAGAGCTTCTGAGAAAAAAGTTTGAAATTTAAGGGAAAGTTTATTGCACTTTTTTGCGGTCTTTTAAAAAGTTTAAAACATTGGTTTATATGGGTTTTGTTAGAGAATGAACTGTATTTTAATTGAAAATTTTTAAAAACAAATAATTAAACATAAGTGGCAAACAATATCGCTTTGAAAGGGGGGTGCTATAGATATGTCCAATACTGTATGTCATAACGTTATCGCCTGAAAACTAAAAATGGGGCTGCTAAAAATATAAATTTCGGGCATTTTCTCAAAAACTGGTCAGTCGATTTTTTTCTAAGTTTCCACAAATCTAGCCCAAAACCTTAGCTTTCTTCTGGTATAAAGCTTATATCTGGGAAAGCTCTTGTTGTGGAGATATTGCGATTAAAATTGAAAAAATGTCGCTCCAAAAAGGGTCAAATGGTTAAAAATTAACATATAAAAATACTACAAGACATTCAGACGAATGCAGTTGTTTATTGTATCTAAAGTTGGTACCAAGTTGATAAGTTTTTATCATTTCTCAAATTTAATTTTTTTTTTTGAATTTTTTCGAATACAAAGGATATAATCATTCTTTTTCGCTTTATTCCGTATTCGAAAAATTATATGTTTCAATGGACTCATCGATTTGAATACATAATTTAGATTTAGACAATATTTTTAGCAATTTATTTGAGAAAAATAAAACACTTAGATTATTGTTTGTATTTTCGTCGATTTTAAACTTGCTACCCCAAAATAATTGATATCAAATAAAACACCTCTTTGACGTAAAACGTCGTCTACTACTAGAAACACAAAATAAAAAACAGAACTTTTGCAACGATTCGTATGAATAAAAAAGATTTTCCCTACGTTTCAAAAGGCAGTTAAGAAATGCGTATAATTTTCGTCACGAAATTGATATCATAAATTTTGTGTTTCTAGTTCAGCTTTCGTCACTCGCAAATTTTACGTCAAAGAGGTGTTTTATTTGATAAACTATACAGTTATTGCAGTTATGTATTAACTTCTTAAATGTCTGTTCTGATTTGTTAATAGATATTGTTAATAAATAGGTAAATAACACTAAGTTTTGCTTGGGGGTGGTCTGTGTTTTTTTTATCACCTGTGCTATTAATATTTAAACTAATTGACTACTTTTAAATTTTATTTTGCAGCCGGCCAAAGTTCAGAAAACAAAAATATTAACATTTGGGATACATTATTGCCTCAAAAAAAATCATGCGTATCTGGTAAGTAAGAAAATATCGAGTAAAAGCAGTTTACGTCTATATATTCCACAATGTTCCATACATAGGTTCGACAGCTTCAGCCGAGGGGTTAGAGGTGTGTACTGCCACTGGGAGGGACTTAATTAGTAGTGATGTGCTGAATTATCGGTACCCAATACTCGGTACCCAATACTTGAAACAAATTTCGGAACTCAATGCATCCATTTCGGTACCCGATACCGATTCGATACATCAAACTTTCGCCACTATATTTATACAAAAAAAATTTATTTCTGTTTTATATGACATCGCCTAAAAATCCAAACAGCTTTTCCAACTTCAAACACTCGGATTCAAATAATATGAAGAAAGTTATTTTATTTTTACCAAAAATTAATGAGATTTATAAAAGTTCAACCATCCCTATCCTACTATGAGTTAATAAATTTTTTAAATTTTGGTTATAGAATCTGGATGAGCTTCTCTTGTCTTAGGCAAAAAAAAAACGTTTAAATACTTCCTAAAAATGGAACTGCAGGACTTTAAAAATCCTATAGAATCTAACATACATGCCCACATAACAGCGCTGCTCACGAGCAAATCACAAATAAGAGCGTCCTCTCCTGTTAATTTGTACGGAAAACAGCGCAAAACAAGGTATACAGCACGTATGTAGCTATGTTGTTTTGATTATTATGTTAAAAAAAAAACAAATATGTACATATGTACAGTCCATGGATAAATAATATAGGCAATTACATATATATGTACAAGGACCAATTAACATTGCTGTTGGCAGTTACATTTGTATATGAATATTTATATACATGTGTATATAATTACACATAAGACATAAGCAGGGCTGCTATGTTTTTTGTACATACTAAGTGAGCGAAATATTAAAAGCAGCAACTCTTATCCATCTATGACATAGATTCTATGTAGGTATATCGCTAAGCTCGACAACGGCTGAACCGATTTTTTCGAAATTTCGACCACCTGCTGCAGACGTTCAAGGCATGGTTATAGGCTAACAAAAATCTCGATATACAAAAGGGGCGTGGAAAGTTTCTCCCATACAAACCGAATTTTTCATACTCCATACCTCTGGAAATGTGCATGGTAGAGTTCTGGAACTTGGTATAGAGATATATGAAATCGTTCGCATACTCTTGAGAAATATTTTGGAGTTATTGGAAAAGAGGGCGTGACACCTCCCATACAAACCTAACTTTTTATACTGCATACCTCTGGAAATGTTCGTGAAATAGTGATGGAACTTGATATGGAGATACATGAAATCCATCGCATACTCTTGGAGGAAAATTTGAGCTATTGGAAAAGGGGGCGTCCTCCAATACAAACCGAATTTTTCATACTACATATCTCTGGAAGTGTTCATGGAAGAGTCCTGGAACTGGGTGTTGACGTATACGAAATCGATCGCATACTCTTGAAGAAAAATCGGAGTTATATATAGGAAAAGGGGGCGTGACATCTTCCATACAAACCGAATTTTACATACCGCATATCTTTGGAAGTGTTCATGGTAAATTGCTGGAACTTGGTGTGGAGATATATAAGATAAATCGCATATGCTTGCAGAAAACTTGGAGCTATAGGAAAAGAGGGCGTGGTACCTCCCATCCAACCCGAATATTTCATACTGCATATTTCTGGAAGCGTTCATGGTAGAGTATGGGACTTGGTATGGAGATACTATATATGTGCAATCAATCATATACTCTTGAGAAAAATTGCAGCTATTGTACAAGGGGCGTGGGACCTCCCATACTGCATATCTCTGGAAGTGTTCATGGTACAGCATTGGAGCTGGGTATGGAGATAGATATATGAAATCAATCCCATACTCATGAATAAAATTTCGGACTATTTGAAAAGAGGGCGTGGCACCTCCCATATAAACCTAATTTTTAATAATAAGTATCTCTGGAAGTGTTTATGGTAGAGTAGTGAAACTTTATACCGTCGTGGCAATTCCCATACAAGTCGAATTTGTATATTGCTAAGGTGACCAGAATTTTTTAACATTCCAGGAGCACAAATTCTCCACATTGAAAACACAAAAAAAAAATTGTCATTATTTTAACACATAAATAACAAATAAATTAACAATTCAAAGTTTCTCTAAACACAAGTCAAACAAGTTAATAGTGCACTGCGTTACATAATTATAAGACCCCCACATATTAACAAGTTTTGACTATTTCTTTTTAACTTAGTTATTTTAATTGTATTACTTCCAAAAAAATGGATTTTTCCTTCGTCTTTTGTTAAAGTTCGATTATAATTTTGTTTCAACGCTATATTTCGTTCAGCAATATCATTAACATATTTAATACTCTTAATCCTCTCTAAGACAACTAACTTCAGGGTAATTTTTTAGAGAATTCAATGCCCTAGAAAAAACGTGTATCCCTTTTTTATAACTTTATTTAACGGTTCAAAAGTTATAACATTTTTAATAAAAACAAATTTTTTTACATGTTACTTACATAAAAAATTTCAAATGCCCACCGAAACCTTTTAAAATTGAAAAAAAAATGTTTCCAAATGGGAGAATTTCCTTCTCAGTAAATAGGTCATTTTAAGGCCATAAATTTACTAGGTTAGTTATTTTGGATCACCCTAATATATGTATATATACAAGAATTAATCGTTTGCAGTAATAAGAATAAGTGGCGTAATTTCCGGGAAACGCTCTCAAAATTTAGTATGTCGAATTACGTAATTCGAAGGGTAATTGGAGTGCGAATTGCGAATGAGGGAGCGAACTACGTAATTGGGGTGCCATGGAAAAGCCGTATTAAATGTTACTGATCAAGGCTAAAAGGAGTTTAGGCTGTTCAACTCATTATTGTTAAAATAAAATTTTAAGTTTAGAATAGATTTTTAAGTTGTGTCAATCACAGACATCTTTGAAACAGTTTTTTGTTAAGATCAGAGAGAACAGAGTTATCCATATGAAGAGAAAAAAATTTACTCGGCAATATAAAGAAATATGACGTCGTTTAAAGTACAAAACCGCGTATGTGAGGTCGCATAAATTATTTTCTAGGGAGTAAAAACACTCTTATTTCAAAATGGTTATCTTTTTTAAAAAGTAATCGCATTTCTGGCTAGTATATTTCAGGACGAATGGATAAGGATTGAGCCAAGAGCTTGTGTGAGTAAATCCAATTTTTGGCAGCAAAAGTCAGTTACGCGGTTATGCAGAATGACGATACGCGGTTTTGTACATTAAACGACGATGAGTACTTCAATTAGTTCAAGCCGGGAAGTCATGGGTTCGAATCTCACTGCCAGGAAACATTTTTTACATCTTTTTTGTTCTTTCAAAAATCATTATTTAAATTTTGTTTATGTAATTATAGTTGTTGTGACCTTTTTAAGTAAAATTAAGCTCCAAAAAATTTGATTTACATGAAATGATTATGTGAAATCCCATTAAAAAAGAATAAAATAAAGTATCATAAAGAAAACTAAAAAAAATGTTTATATTAAAAAATATTAGTAACATTAATAAAATTTGTTTGGAGTGGGGACCGAACCTGGGTGCTACTGCGTTTACTACTTCAACAGCAAAACAAAACTTAGAGCCTTATTTTACCATTTCTCCTCATTTTAAAGTTAAAACTCTGTTTTTGCCATAAAATGCATTTTAAGTTGACTATGAAAGAGTTAAAATGGTGATTACTATAAAACACAACTTAAATCATTAAAACCTTTTTCTAATTTCTCTATGACTACGGGCCAATGATTGTGTCCAATAGGAAATAGTAATATTCTTAACGAAATTTTTTGAAAATTTCATGACGCCTATAAAACTTGAAAAGGAGGACAAGGAGGACATTTTTGCTCAAAAGGAGGACAGAGAAGGACAATATTTTTGAGGAGGGCAAATCACGTTTGAGGAGGACAATCCTCCTCAAAGGAGGACGGTTGGTCAGCTTAATTTTGCATATCTCTAGAATTGTTCTTGGTAAAGTACTGGAACTTGGTGTAGAGATAACTATATGAAATTAATCGCATAGTCATGTAGAAAATATGGAGCTAGCATACAATCCGGATTTCTTACTATATATCTCTGGAAGTGTTCATGGTGCAGTACGTCGTATGGAGATATATGAAATCAATCCCATACTCATGGAGAAAAATGGGCTCTTTGAAAAGAGGGCATGGCAAAGTACAAACGTACTGACTTTTACTTTTCTTTGAATGTGTATATAATTCTTCTGTAGGCATGTTTGTGAGTGAAATCCTAAACGGCTGGAGGGATTTTAACAAAGTTTTGTGTGTGTGTTTGAGTGGGCTTCTGGATAGTTTAGTTTCACAATTTAACCCGCCAGTTAGCGCTGGCGTTGAGTTATTACTAAAAATCTTTTTTATGATCCGATTTGGCGAATATTCAAAACATGTATTGGAAACGGTAAAGGCCGTCCAATTGCAAAAAAAAGAGCTTCCAGGTGGTGCTGAGGTCGAGTTATTACTAAAAATCGACAAGTAAGAAAAGGTGCCGTGAAAATCAGACTAAATCGACCTGTTGAACCATTGAGTATATCGAACTCTCGTGTGTTACGATTGACCCAATGGATGTGATTTGCCAACATTATTATGCGTTAAAGCTTCATTCGGATACCCCAGGGTTGAGTTGCGCAGTGATAAATCTCAAATCACCACCTGTCGAAATATATATTTTTTACTTGAATTTAATAAGGAACCTGACAGAAAAAAATAATTTTTCACTTAAATTGTTTTCATGAAACTGGCTTTTAAGGTATTTCATCTGAAATAAGGCTGCGTATGTACATACATATATAGGATTTCTGTTGAACAATGATACGCACCCATTTTGAAATTGCCACCAACCATAAGATAAAGTTTCTAGGGCAGATTCACTATAGATCCGGATCATTGTTGCCGCCAGGGAATTTCTTCATGGACATAACACTTACGTTGGGTTATTTAAGGCGGTAAACGACCACCATAATCCAACCATAAAATAAAATAAACCATAATCTTAGCCGATGAATGTGCCAATGGAAATCGCAAACGTGGACTGTTGGGGAAAATTTTGGACCAAAATGTTTAAATTAAAAATCTAATTTTGGGCGGGACGAAGTTCGCCGGGTGTGCTGGAACATATATATTTGGAACACGGGAAAGTGAGATCGAGTTTTAGAGAAACTCCCATTCTGATTTTTTTTTTTCATAATGGCTATATAACCTATACGGAAAATGTTTATAGGCAATTCTCAATTAGTTCGACTTGTTGCATGACTGGACAGTTTTTATTCGGACACATAATTTTCGCTCCTTTATTAACAGAAATCAGGTCACATATGTTGTGTTGTGTAGATTATATAAATCTAAAAAAAGGACCACCGTACATATTTTTTATGCTAAATATGCGTTTTAGACTGCATCACCAAAAAAGTTGCGGTTTTT